TAAATAAACACATACAAACACACACACACACACACACACACACATTTTTTGCATGTTGTTGTGAAAATTCCCATTATATTGGTCCCCAATCTTCCCATTATTAGACTAATGCCAGTGTAAGCATCGTTATGAAATACATTGTTCTGGGTTGTATTGGAGGTTAAACACTTGTAGTATATGCACACTTAGAGCAAACGAGTTTGAACGATGAAGCTTAACGAGGCAGTGAGCTATGATTGTCAAACACAAACAAAGGCAGCATTTATTCAGAAAAATTATTGCATTATCTGAATGTGAAGTGCCTGTCTATATCTTTCTTTCTTTCTTTCTTTCTATCTTCCTCTCTGGGTCTGTGTGAGGTTGTGACAGAGCAGGAGACTTTGTGAATGTAGATGTGTGTGAGTTGGAATGTGTTGGTGCGAATGTGTGTGTTAGAGAGAGAGACATATAGAGAGCTCATGTAAGAACAGGTTTGCCCTCCCACTTGGAGAGTAGTATTTCAGCTGAAGACTTTCTCCCTGTCTGTCTTTCCTTTCCCTCATAGATGCATTCTTTTCTCTTCCTCTCTCACTCTTACTTTTTCTTGCTCTTCTAAGACATCCCTGAAATGATCTGTATCTCCAAACTTTATCTAAACTGCCAACACATATACTTGATTCATATAAGAAACAATTAGAACATAAACAAACAAACAAAAAAATGACTCTAACCTAGTTTATTATTCTTCTGTGTGGTTGCCGGTGATTTTGACCCATTTTAGAGTGTTCCAATTTAAGACACATACTTTAAATTTACATTAACCGACACTTTATGACATCCTTCACAGACGTCTCTCACACAGACGCTCAGTCAAACAGAAAATTGTGACTTGTGAGCTGTGATTTCTCATGTAGGGTCAATTGCCAGCTACGGAAGGGTTAAATAATGCATCAGTAATCCTTTGAATGATGTTATAAATATATGATTCCCATACCGCAGGGGTATACATGTGAAAGTTCACCTGGGTCTCTGTGATGTTGTAATGTACTGCTATAAAAAGGTCAAACATAGTAACTACGCTAAAGCTGAAACTGAGAAAAATTGCAATGTTGTTTGATTTAGTGATTTGACAAGAATTGTCACACTCTTTTTACTCTTAATCTGAGCGCAGTTGAGACAAACCTGTGTGTCACAGGACAAATCACAGTATAATTTCAGCCAATTTTGACAGGCGTTTGCTTTGGAGGCCAATGTAGCTGAAGGAAAATGGTGCAATTATGTTTTTTTTTTAATTTTGACAGGCGTTTGCTTTTGTAGGCCAATGTAGCTGAAGGAAAATGGTGCAATTATGTTGTTTTTTTTTAAATCATAGTCTAAGTATAGATGTTGTATTTAGACTGGGGTTGAAAGCTCTTATTTATGGTGGTTTTATAATGAGAGGAGGGTCTCCGATCATGAGATATCCTGTGAAATGGTGTTTGTGAAAACTATTTGCGGACAATGAAATGTAAAGTGCTTTCTACAAGTATGAACAGACAAATTAACAATTTTAATCTTTGAAATTCATGCAATGAGTGACTTATCTTTATTTTGGTCTCTCTCTCTCTTTCTCTCTCTTTCATTTCCTTTCTTAGGCAGCTAATGGAGAACAAGATCAGTTCTATTGAGAGAGGGGCATTTCAGGACCTGAAAGAGCTGGAAAGACTGTGAGTGACTAATGCACACACACACACACACACACACA